GAGACAGAGAAAGAGCATTCATCAGAGGATCCACGGCGCTGGGCCAGGCATGTGGCCGGGGCGTCCAAACCCCACGAGGGGTCACTTTTACTTGGCTCTGAAACACTAGGGCTGGGTGGTCATCCTGGGAATCTGGGACACGTCCCTCCACCGGAATCACCAGGTCAGAGCGGGAAGACCTAGGCAGGGAATAGGGGGCGGGAGCCGGGTCCTTACCTCGCCCAACCCCCCACTCCTTTGCTCTCTCCTTCTCCCCCTCCCTGTGTCTCCAGCTGTGCCCCACAGTCGCGGAGAGAAGGAAGAGCACCGTGGCAGTGACGGGGAGCGTGCGTAAACGCGCCATGGTGCAGGGGTGGGCGCCGCAGTGGGGTGACCTGCTTTTTTTTTTTTTTTGCGGTACGCGGGCCTCCCACCACCATGGCCTCTCCCGTTGCGGAGCGCAGGCTCCGGACGTGCAGGCTCAGCGGCCATGGCTCGTGCACGGGCCCAGCCGCTCCGCGGCATGTGGGATCTTCCCGGACCGGGGCACGAACCCGTGTCCCCTGCATCGGCAGGCGGACTCTCAACCACTGCGCCACCAGGGAAGCCCGGGGTGACCTGCTTTTTGATGAATGTGACTTTCGTCAGGACTGAGAGCGCAGGCCGCCGTCTGCGGAGCGTTATCACTGCTGCGGTTGTTCTACAACCGCGGTGGCCTCCATCACAGAATTTCAGCAAAACACGTAAAATACCAGATGTGAGAGTTACTATGGAAACTGCCCTGTAAAAATGGAGGTTTCCTTGCTGAGACGCAGAGGATACATCCCTCAGTCGCAGGGGCTTACCAGAAGGAAGCGCGGTTTGCCTGCTCTTCCTTCCGACAGGGAAAAGGAAGGAGGCGCGCGGGCTCCAAAGATGAGGAGAATAAAGGACGAGCCACCCGGAGGAGGTCGGCTCCTTGATCTGCCTTTCCGAGGCGCGGGCCCTCATCCTGCTGGTTGGGTAGCGTGCCAGCAGTTGCTGTTCGTCCCCTTGAATCTCTGGTTTCTTTGCTTGGTGTGGTGCTTCCTTGCTTCTAAGTGGAAGTGACCTCTGGGCTCTGTCTCAGTCCACCCCAGGTCCCCCTCCACCTCCAGTGTCACGCCGTGTATGTGTGACCTGGTAGGGA